TTTTTTGCACGAGACGAAATGGCGGAAGGCAGTGACAGCGCTCGGGAGATTTTTCAGCCATCTAAGAGGACCAAATCGGTGGTCTGGTCGTATTTTGGCTTTTACAAGAGTCCTGAAGGCAATTTAATCGAGGACGGTCACCCTGTCTGCCAATCTTCCAAGAAGAAAGTCACTGCAAAGTCATCTTCGTGACTACCACCCACTGTTATATAGCGAATGCAAGGTAACTTTTACCTTGATACCAAAATTAACTGGGCAAATAATTGGACAAAAAATATTGATTAAAGATTAAATATTTTGTTATCTCACTTATAATTAACGCAAAGCTTCCATGAAGAAAGTTCTCAGCAAGTGGCTTTTGAGCCAAGATGAACGAACGTTCGAACTATTAAGGTTGACATTTAAGGGATAATGTATTGTATATTCATAGTTAAAACTTATTACACCAATTTTTTTTGTTTACCTATAATAATAATAATAATAATATATAAATAGGGGATATGAAATATTGAATTGAGATTAATGTTTTGAAATCTTACCTGTTTATAAATCCATTATGAACAGTGTACAAAACAATCGTCAGGACAATATGATCACTACAGCAAAATTATAGTAGTATTAATACTAAATTCCTATGATTTCATTTTCAATACAATCAAAAACTGAGACACAAGCTGCATTTGAATGAAATGAGAGAGCACGTCCGCGCCTCTGCAGTGATACAAGAGACATGGGGTGAATTCCAAACAGAAGTGAGCATCCCTATGCCCTACTCCCTTCGAAGGGCAGAGCTGTTGAAGTGTGTTCGTTGAAGGGTGCAGGGTATTACTGTCTCGTATAAGCGTTTGAAACTCCCTTGGCGAAGGGAATGACTGACCAAATGTTACCTTGACAACACTGCGCGTGCGTGCATCATTCAGTACTCCATCAGTTGTTGCAAATAAATATTTGTTCTTCTTATTATTTTATTCAAATATTGTCTAATTGTGTCTTATTTACTATTAAAC